AGCCTCAGTTCATCTTCTTCAGCTTCAATTGCTTGCATTTGTTCAATTAATAACCATGTATCTTAACCCAAGAGGGTAGCTCAAGTGGCAAATGAGTTTTTTTTGTGGGGGAGAATTTTGGGATAATCTGGGTTCGATTCCCACAAGTGATGATTCACACCCGATGTGTGGTTTACACCAAAAAAACCATGGATCTTGAATCTTTGGTAATTTCATGATAATACATCTCTTTTGCAAATTTGGTTATTTCATAATAAATTGTACAAGATGTATAATCATAATTGATGATGCCTCTCTTTCTTCTTCTTCTTTATTTTTTTTTATTATTATTTTTTGGGGTTAAATACAAGATGAATAATTATGTTTTGTTCTGATACTGCATTGTAATAGAGTCAATAATACTAAAAAAAAAATATTGTTCAAAGATAAACCTCTACATTTCGTGATAACATCCTTCTCTATCAAGAACTCTTCATGGTTACTAAGAACCTTCATTAATCGATTGCTATAACCTTTATGAAATCCATAGTTCCATGCTTTGACTGGTATATGGAAACAACGTTAAGACTATTGAGCATATAATAATATATAAATATAAATATATAATCCAACTATCAGTTTAAACTTTTAATTGAGATGGAGTTGCTTGGAGCCCACAAAAGTAATCGGGTTCCAATTAAGACGTACAGAAACACGGGAAACAGTGACGAAGCCACAATAGAGGCACTTGTCCTCACTCCCCCACCCCATCCCATTTATATATATTGTATGTATAGGTCCTTAGTGCGTACATAGTTAACTTATAAATACTAAATTTATATAAATCTAATCAAAGGTTTAGATAGCTTAGATGGTAAAATATTTGATTTTTTTTCTTAAATGTTAGGGGTTCATATCCTACCTCATGAATTTATAGTGAGATTAATTCTAATTGACTTTTTTATTTGTAACATTGTGTTTTAATCTCATTTTTTAATATTAATAGTGCTATTAGTTATTTATAATATGTTTTCTATTTGAACTATTTTATGTAATTAATTATATTTCATATTTTGTGGAATTTTTATTTGTAACTTTGTGTTTTTTCTAGTTTTTTAATATTAATATTGATATGAGTGTTTTATAATATGTTTTCTATTCAAATTATTTTATTTAATTAATTATATTTTATATTTTTTTTAAATATTTTTTTTATCTCATTTTGATATATTTTAATTTTTCATCCTAATTAAAAATATTTATGACTCGGTCTCTAAAATTTTTTTTAACATATCTCATTGGTTTTAAATCTTTCGCCTCCACTGGTAAAGATTTATAGATCCGCCCAGACGGGAATATACCTAAACAAGCACAAAATGAATGGAAGTTACATGAATTAACTTAATTACAAAAACACGAAATGCTATTAAAAAAAAAAAACAGTTATCTAGGTACTTTCATATGCCAATTCTATCACAACCTTATTCATTCACATATTCATCTAAACCCAAAAAAGAATTATAGTGTTGATGATTGGGTCTTTGTTTTCTCTGTGTTCTTGAGCAGCTAATAACCTGGAAGATCCATGGTGCCATTTATTGCAAAAAAAAAAAATAATAATAAATAAATAAATAAAATTCAACTATGAGTGATTGGGTTTGAAAGTGATAAATCTACCTATGTCTTCTTGCACCATTGAGTCGATCAAAAGTTATATATATAATTTGCCTGTGTTCTTACACTGAATTTGATTTCATCAGATAATATAATACCCTTGAGAACATGTACATATTCAATCTATCTTTGCGTTTATTTAAGAGTAAATACCCAAAATGGTCCCTCGACTATAGCTAAATTCACAAATTGGTCCTCGACTTTTAATTTCAACCAATTAAGTCCTTAACTTTGCAATTTTAACACAATTTGGTCCTTTGTCTGTTTGACCGTTTGTTGACTGCACCTTTTTAGGATATATATGTAATTTCATGGTCCACCGTCGGTTTTTTAAGGTTCCGGTTGCATTTTTAGACCGCACTATTACATTTGAATTCACTGCCGGCGCTGCACCCCATGCCGGAGAGATTATAGCTTTTGATAGATAGATCGCCGAAGTCCCTGGAGTGGCTCTTCGAGAAAGCCGTGACTCCAAGCGATGTAGGCAAGCTGAACCGGCTCGGGATCCCCAAGCAGCAAGCGGAGAAGCACTTCCCCCCTCCGAAACGGCGTTGTCACCTCCAAGAACGTTCTCTAAGCTGAACCGGCTCGTGATCCCCAAACAGCAAGCGGAGAAGCACTTCCCCCCTCCGAAACAACGATGTCACCTCCAAGAGCGTTCTCTTGAGCTTTGCACATGAAACTACATATATATCCTCAAAGATCGCGGTCAACAAACGGTCAAATAGATGGAGGACCAAATCGTGTCAAAATTGCAAAGTTAAGGACTTAATTAGTTGAAATTGAAAGACAAAGACCAATTTGTGAATTTAGCTATAGTCGATGGACCATTTTAGATATTTACTCTTTATTTAAGTTGATAGATGACGTCAACAACCGAAAATTAAAAACTACCTAACAAATGGAGATGCGAGGTATCAATCCCCATACATCTCACATGCTAAGCAAGCATTCTACCATCTAAGCTACATCACCTTCATGTTAAAAGGTTATTGTATTAATATATTTACTTAACCTCAACAATATAATACTTCTTCCACTCAAGTTTTAATCACTTAACTATTGTAATATTTGTAATTTTAATTCTTTATTTCTGAAGATATATTGGGTTGGAGATTACAAGCTTAGCAGAGTCCCCTTATACTGGATAGATGGAAAATTATAAGAATAATGCTACAAAAGTAATCATGTTAAAGAATAAAATTTTAAAGGGATAAAATTAATCTTTTTTTATGAAAAATAAAATCTTCATTTTTGTAAGGTTATCTTTTTCTTATAGCGTTGATTTTTTTCTTTTGGAAGCGTTTTTCTTTACGATTGATTGGGTCTCATCCTTCTTAGCTTTTTCTATAATTTTCTCATTCACCATTTTATTTGAAATCACGGATTAAATCTGCATCTAATGTTGTGTCAAACTCTATTGAGTAATCTAAATAATTATGGTATCCTTGGTAAATGTCTTGTTGGACTTATATAGTAAATGGTTGAATATATGTATTTAGACATGTCTACTAGAAGCATAAGTAATATTTTGATTTGTGGAGTTGAAAATATTATTTATGTTTGGTAGGAAGCTTATGTTTTAATTGATCAAGAATGTTTTAGAGTAGTTGTTTTAAGAGAGGTTGTTTAGAGAATTTAGAGAAGTTGGAGTTACTTCTTTTGAGTTTACTTCTATTTTTTTTTTTTTTTTGAAAATATTATCTGTTCATACATACTTTCTCAATCTGTTGAAGCACAAAGAGTCAACTATGCCTCAATGTCACTACATGTCATTTGAGCACAAGGTGCTTGGGTGAGTTTACTACTTTTGGGTTTTACTTTTCTTAGTTTTACTTCTCTTGGATTTCACTCTTCGAAAGTTGACTTCTTAGGAAGTTACTATTCGGACTACTTCTCGGGAGGTTTTCTTCGGATGACTTCTCGGGAAGTTATACTTCGGATGATTTATTGGATGACTTCTCGAATTCCCAGAAGTTATAATTATTATAATACCCAAAATCGTCCTCGACTATAGTGGTTTTTCTCAATTTCGTCCTAAACGACTTTGGTGACCTAATATCGTCCCAGACTTTTGTGTTTTGCTCAATTTAGTCCTCCATTTGTTATTCCGTCAAATTGGTGTTAAATAAAAGGACAATTCAGTAATGTCAATATTGATCTCTCTTTACTTTCAACTTGTGAAGTGCGAAATTCCTCTTTCTTGTACGAATTACACCCAGAATTACTCCTGGACCTGCAAATCAAATTTTATATTCGCAGTTTTAGGAGTAATTCGTAAAAAAAAAAAAGGGATTTCGCAGTTCACATGTCTATGAGTAAAGAGATGCCAATATTAAAATTACTGAATTGTCTATTTATTTAACACCAAATGGACAGAATAACAAATGAAGGACTAAATTGAGCAAAAACACAAAAGTCTGGGACTAAATTGAGCGAAACACAAAAGTCCGGGACGATATCAGGTCACCAAAGTCGTTTAGGACGAAATTGAAAAAAACCACTATAGTCGAGGACGATTTTGGGTATTAACTCTTTAATAATATAATGAATTCTTGATCGATTATACAATAATTTAAATATTAAATTTGAATTATTGTTATCATTATGAATATAATAATAGTGGGAGTTACAAAAAGCTTCAATTTAATTTCTTCATGAATTTGACATTTAAGAGAATTGAAGAAATAATGTCTAATGATGGATATTGATAGTACTAATTTCCAGATGTCGGCTGTATGTACTAGATGTATATAATATGTATGAACAATGATATAGATAAAGGGATCTTTTATTCATAGTGTTCTTGTAGATCTTTGTAGAGAGAAGGGGGAGAGGTGAATGTATGTAGAGAGAAGGTGGTAAGGGCCAAAAAAAGACCCTTAACTTAAAGGGCTATATGCCCTTTTATAGGCACAAGAAGGTGACCGGGACCGGATCGTTTGACTCCGACCTGACTATAAGCGGGAATACGAATCCAGGGTATATAACCTATCAGGTATAAATATTTTTTTTTATCGAGTTGTCAAGATATGATTTTGTGTGTATTCTTTGCTCTTGAGTCTTGACTAAGTAATTGGAGTATTTATGAGAGAGTGATTTCTAAAACAAGATAAACCTCTACATCTCGAGATAACATCCTTCTCTATCAAGAATTGATTCTCCATATTTACTAAAAACCTTCATCAATGGATTGCTATAACCTTTATGAAATCCAAAGCTCCATGCTTTGACTGGTATATGTAAATAGGATTAAAACGATTGAACATATAATAATATGTAAATATAAATGTACAATCCAACTTTTAGTTTAAACTTTTAATTAAAATAGAGTTGCTTAGAACCCGTCAAAAGTAACCATCTTCCAATTAAGGTGTACAAAAACACGGGGGGAATAATATGCTTAAACAAGCAAGAAATGAAGGGAAATTACATGAATTAACTTAATTACAAAAACACGAAATGATATTCAAAAAAAAAAAAAAACCAAGCCAGTTATCTAGGTATTTTCATATGCCAATTGTATCACAACCCTATTCATTCACATATTCATCTAAACCCCAAAAAAAAGAATCACAAGTATGTTTAATATATGTACAAAGCAAAGGTGTGCATCTCCTCTTTAGTAGGGCTTGTATTGCAAATAGAAAGATGATCGAACAGCGTGTTGATGAGACAAAGCTTTTCCATTCACAAGCACTTGCTCTGAGAAATCCGCACGGACTGACTTGAATCCGTAATGCTGCACATAGAATACAAGTATGAAAAGGAAGCGAGGGTGAAGAATTCAAATGGTCTTTTCGTAATCTCCATCATACTCCTCTTCAGATAAAATGCATTGATACCTTACCTTTCCTTTCCACGAAAAGTCAACAAGATGGTAGTAGGGTTGCAACAGTGTGACCACATCTCCTTCTTTGATCTGCTTGCCACACAAGTAATAGTTAGCGACTAACATTATAATAACACATTCCGAGAAAAGCACACTAAACATGAAATAGGAGCACCACAAATGTAAAATGCAAAACACTTATCATAGCCTTTCAAATGCTCGGCCTCAAGACAATGCTTGAATTGATATTCTATCCAGACTACATAGATTTTCATGTTCAAATCAGAGTGTAGCAAAGTTCACTCAGAGAGCAACAAAACTATATAAGACAGTGTAATAAGGTCATTAAAAAAGGCAAGCTATGGTCAGCTTACGATTTTGCAAACCAAAGAGATGATGTTTTAGAATATCTGGATTTAAAAAACAAAACAAAAACATAAAAGCCATGATGATCTACAGACCATCAGAGAGCTTTGCTTTCTTGCATTAGGTGCCATCCCCTCTCCTCTCTTTTTCACTCTTGGTGAAAGAGAGCAGTCATGAAAAATTTGGTCCACAGAAATCAGAAGCCCTAGAGAGGAGATATTTGCTGAAAGCAGCGGCACTTAACCAATACCTCTTTTCAGTTGATAAATGGGCATGCTTGAACTATGCAAATATGTTTTCAAGGAAAGTACAAATTCAAAATTACGTTTGAAGAGAACTTGGGCGCTAATTTGAAAATATTAGTCTTTCTTCTGGAAGGCTTGCCATGCAGGAATTTTAACTTTCCCTTGTAGTCTTATACCAAAGACACGCCGCTAGCTCCAGTGCTCCACAATGTTCGATGCTTTTTTTTTTTTCTTAAATTCCATATTAATTTACTTTAGGTGATCTCAAAGTACAAGTTCAAAGAAGATGGTTCTCAAGAAAGAATTAACCATTTATATATTCTTTTCATTCAGTAACCCCCCTCTACAATAGAAATAGATGAAAAAAGGAGGAAGTAGAAGCATGAGGATAAGAGAAATATCACGTGGCATAGTGCCAAATTTAAGAGGGAAACTTACAGCCTCATTTTGTACTCCATAGACAGATAGAACATAGCATGCTTGAGCAGAATCACATAGAACATAATAGCTGCAAAATATTGGTAAATTAGGCATGAATAAATATATACATTTTCATGTCCATGCATTGACTCTTGTAAGGAAGGTATTAAAAAGAAAAAAGAAAAAAGGAAAAAAGAGGCCATATAAGATTAACATGAGAGAATTGCAGCACATTTATTGATAACCATAAACAATGCAGAAAAGCAAATTTACAATTGGTGCAATAGCTTGTCTTGAGCAGAACTTACAGTGGAGTTGGAGTCCCATGTTTAACGAAGAACATGACTTTCCCGATCAATACAACCCCTTTATTAAGACCTTCTGAGAGAAAATCTATGGTTGCCCTTCTGTAAGAAGGATTCACTAGAAGGGAAAATAGTAGCCTTTCTTTAGATTAGGGATAACAGGTTTCCTTCAGTGATCAATCCAAATTTTGCTATCAATAAATGATTTGAAATAACAAGAAGGCTTACCATTAATGCTATTGAGTGATGATGTCAGGGAAGCAAGCCGCTTGGACTTGTTCTGTCCCTGGTAAAACCAAATAATATTAGAAGACTGTACCCCTGAGAAGTTTCTGTGCAACAAACGCTTTAGAGGAGATCAGAACTGATCCACTATGTATAAGCTCATCTATCATTTTAAATGCCCATTTATATCTTTCTTGTTTACCATGGAAATTCAAGAAAGAAAATTCAAAATGGCAGTAAATATACTCCAGTTATTATGCAAAGGCAGCACAGCACAGCTAGTGGATAATTTAGTTTTTAACAGAGGCAGCAATTTTAACATTTCATAATTCTGTAGACTTTAATCACTTTATAATAATGGTTTTGATTTTACACTGGTATGTTCCTAGCTATTTTTTAGATTATCATAAAAGAACCAGCTTCAGAGTTTCCTCATGTTCAGAACTATCAATTTTCATTTTTCAGTGAAATCACAGATCAGCATGAATGATTCAAGGCAGATGTATCATGTATGTTTGCCACAATTAAGTATATCATTTCAATGCTTAAGAAAATCAATAATATTATCAAATATTGAAATATATCTTGAAAGTTGAGGATTTCTCATTTCACTTCTTACAACAAGCTTTCATCAAAGGTTCTTCAAAAATATATCAAAGGAAGATCTATAGCACCAATAATCTTTTCAATAAAATGAATAGTAAACTACTTCTTTGTGTACCATATTTGGACCCAAACAATTCATACTCTATTTTAAAACTTGACTGCATAGGATAACTCCGACTATAATTTTACTATTTTTTCAAATTGAACTAGTGGTTCTTGATGATTAACTAGAGAATTACATCATAGATTTGCAGTTCAGTGAACATTTTCCATATCTGAATGGAATTTCTAGTCTTCCAAAAGAATTGTTAGATAAAAAAGAATGTTGTGTCGTCTTGTATACATATTTGTAAACTTGGCATTCAAATTGTCTGTTGCGACGGCTGAAATGGCATTTTCTTCTATGCATTTTATCAAGAATAGATTGCATATTAAATTAGAGACCACAGAGGAATGATTTCCTCCTTGTAACTTATATTGTGAAAGATGTTTTTGACAAACATTAGCAACAAAGCTATAATGCAGTGTCAAATTATGAAAAAATGTTTCCTATATTTTTAAGACTTGTGTCTTATAGAAACAAATCCCGTTTCATTCTTTTTCAAATTTATTTAATATTGTGTATAAATTGTGTGAGTATGCACAATACCAATGCATGTACTGTGCAATGTCCAAGTGGTGATTTTTAAGATTTTGACTCCACTAAATCAAAACCTTGAAGTTGCTACAGTAAAGCATTAAATTAGTGTACAGATGACCATTCCAACTCCCGCTAAATTTTCACATGTGATAGAAGACCTAACACCACTTCACATATCAGGATGAACTCCTACAAATAACCAGTTGGTAGCTAGACATAATAAAGCTATTTCCTTACCATCTTAAGACACTAAACTATTGTCCAATTACTATTTTTATAAAAAAATGAGCAAGGAATTATCTCTGTAAAACTCATGATCCTTATGATTACTAAAACTAATTCTGAAATATTACTTTCTATCATCCTCAAAATACGTATAGATAATTGCAATGTAATATGGACAAATATGTAATGTGTTCATGGCTATGATAAACTTACCCTTAGCAAACTATCCAATTTTTCAAGAAGGTAAACAACCTTTTGGACCTCCTCTGTTGCATTAAGACCAGGATCCTTCAGTGCAGCAGCTTCAAATCCAGTAAGGGCCCGCTCATAATTCTCAAGATATTTGTTTACCTGATTTAGTTCTTAGTAAACATCAATCTTTTAGGTAAATGTTATGCAAAAATAAAAATAAAAAATAGAGAAAATGGAAAGACTAAGCACCATAAAAGGTATATCTGGATGATCAATTATCACCAAATACGCAATGAACACAGGCAGATAAGAATTCTGAGTGTTTTCCTCATTATACTACAGTAAGGCGTAACAATATACCAAGCTTTGAAGTTTTCATGAGAAAACAAGATGAGTGAAGACTGAGGCTTACAGTAGCACAGTTGAAATATAGGTCTGGACTGCACTTCATTCTTTCATCTCTCTCCTGTACAATATAATTTTTTTTTTTTTAAAAAAAAATTATGGATATACATCTAGGCAAGAACTGGAAATAAAATTAAAAAAATTAAAAACTTAAAAGACCAGTTTTAAGATTTAGGGCCAATAACTTGAGAGAACATATAGGGATTTTGTCATTAATAATATATTAGGTAACTGACAACTGAAACTTTATTGAATGCATACATACAGCATTTTGGTATGCTTTCAATGATTGTAGAAGTTTTCCATGATCCCAAGCTCCAGTAACAAAAAATGATGTGTGATAGGCATTACCTAGGTTATCTGTAATGAAGATACAAAATTCACTAAGGATCTATAATTTGAATATACCAGGACAATAACAATAGTGAAAATAATTGGAGATTGAAGTCAAGTATTGTAATTAAAAGAACAAGAGATAATAATATAAACTTCAACTCCTCAACTAAGAAGAAAACCAAAGAAGCAGCATATATAAATCAAGTGTTTATCTTTTAAGCATAGAGACAAAATGTTAAGTCCCTGTTTTTCTTACTTTTCAATCAGTTGGCATCATCTCTTACTCTATTCTCACAGCATCTATGTACATATATAGAAATGCAGTTAAGCATGCCCAACAATAAGATGTCAAGTCAAATATCAACTGCTACCGACAAAAATGAATTTACTAGAGCTTAGCAAGTATTTAGGACAGATATCAAGTGCAGCCTATTAAGGCACAGCCGCACAGGAGCTAAGTTCCACTCATGCATTTGTTAAGTTTACTTATCACCCAAAAAGAAAACCTTGTCCCTTAAGTTAGCTTTGAGTTAGAGACCTACACCAGGAATATCCATCCTTGACATCTACAGTGATAGCTTCCTTTGCATGCTTTATGCTCTCTTCAACAATTTCTGCTTGATCTTCAGCACCTGCAAAGAGGTGAAAAGATCGTTTAAACAGAGTAAGTTAATAAGCTAAACCCAGAATGGAACCCAAAATACTGGGGAGAACAAAACAACAAGAAGAATATGAGTTAAATGAAGCTTTACATATTACTATGCCCCATAATCTGTTTCAGAAGAAGAAGCAAGTAACAAACAAACAGCCTTCTTGCTAGCATTACTAGAACCAGTGGTTTCAACTAAATAACATGTGGTTCAGGAATAACATTAAGTTTCTATTTTTTTTAAAGAAAAATTAAAGGGTAGGCTGCATAGATAAACAGGATGACAAGTGCAAATGCTCTATAAGCAAAATCAAGCATACTACTCTCAACCATTTTTAATAATCAAAATGGTCCCTCGACTATGCCGTAATTACCAATTTAGTCCTCGACTACCATTCTTACCCAATTAAGTCCTCAACTCTGTAATCTTTGGCTCTTTGCCCAATTTAGTCCTCTGTTAACTTTTCTGTTTATTGATGGTTAAAATTAGGGACAAAAATATAATTTCATAAGCTTTCTCCTTGTGGGTCGAAATTTATATTTGTTGTTATATTATTAGTTCAATATTATGATTCATTTAAAGAATTAATTTGATTATTTAGACGGAAAAAAAGTGCATCTAATTCAAAAATAAATAATATAAATATTTTAAATACCCAATTAAAAAAAAAAAAAGAGAAAAAAGTAAAGCTCACCGTTGAAGGGGAGCTCAAAGAAGGGATGCTAAAATACACCCAAGTAGCGGCGGCGCTTACAAGATGAAACGAAATAATGGGAACGCCCACCTCTTCCGCAACATCAACCGCGAAATTCGAGAGTCCATCGGCGATGATGCACCTCGGTGGCACACTGTCCTCGCCGCCGGAGGTGACGATCTCCTTCAGGAACGGTTTCGCCGTGGTCGAGAGAGAATGAAGGAGTTGTACTATGCCAACGCCTGAACTCCGGTGGTCATTGGTGAGGCCGTCGGTATTTGACTCAAAACGGAAGCCGGAGTAGCGGCGGAACGGGGAGATGACATCGGAGGAGCACAGAAGGTTGTTTTGGGTGTGGACGGTTGTGATGAACGTGACTTTGAGGTGGGAGAGGCAAAGGAGTTGGGCTAAGTTGAGCATGGAGCGGATGTGGGATGGAAATGGGAATGCTATGATGATGATATGAGGATGAAGAGGAAGATAAGGTTTAGGGGAAGTAGCTTAGTGATCCATCAGTATACTTCTGGAGGTGGTACAAATCCTCACTGATCTTAACCTTATTACCAAAGTTTATATTTGCTCTGATGGAGGATGATTCATGGATATGGTAGGGACATTTCATTTTCCTTCTGATTTTTTGTTGAAATGTTTCTTTCACGGTAGAACAAAGGAGTTGAGACATAAGTGAGAGTGAGGCAGTGAGCTTGATGAGGTGGTTGGAAAATTATGCATAGCTTCATATTAAAGCCATGAATGTTTGCTGCAAGGTTTGGCAGAATGAGAGATGAAGGAGAAAGCTTATAAAATTACATTTTTGCCCCTAATTTTAACCATCAACAAACAAAAAAATTAACAGAAGACTAAATTGGGCAAAGATTACATAGTTGAGGACTTAATTGGGTAAAAATAATAGTCGAGGACTAAATTGGTAATTACGGCATAGTCGAGGGACCATTTTGGTTATTAACTCTTAGAACTTTTTATGTTTTCCATAGTCACTACAGAGTGCAATATAATTGGAAATCATTTGGAATAAGGACTATTTTCTTTTTTAAATCTCAAACTTTTAATACTGATTGACTCATTTACTAGCACAGCACTAATCCCAGAAAAAGTAGTACTCACAGAGTCACAGGAAATCTCATTGATAATAAAAGACTTGGAGGATAGATGGTTAAAAATTTTATTACATACTTTACAGGGTAATAACTAATAAAAGTATAAAGATGTCCAAAAATTATCTTAAGAAAAGGTTATGATCTAGATGATCATGATACAGTAGCAAGCATATAAAGAAAAATCACCTTGAGCCATTTTTCTTTCAAGCATTGACAGTTGACAAAGTATTCGTTTGTTGGGACCCTGAGCATGAAATTCATAAGATATCTATCAGCATTAGGAAATATTACTCAACTGCAGAATTAGGTCAGCCACTACACCACTTCTGAACTAAACAAATCACAGCACCAATAAAAAGACCTTGCTCAAACCAAACATGAAACAATTCTTGGCTGAAGCTAAATCCCCTTTCTTCCATATGCAGTTACCCAAGCACAGCCAAGCATCTGCAAGAGAAGGGTTCAACTTTACCTGGAAAACAAAGAAGATACCCAACAAATAAAACAGAGTGAAAAAAAAAAAAAAAACACCCAAATTTGAACCCAGTATAGAAAATTAACAAGAAATCAATCTCACTTACAGCTTTGGAGAGATGATCCTCTGCTTCCTTCTTATAATCAGGAAACACATCCAATATTTTTCCCCTCAAGTACTCGTATGTAGCTCGCTGCATCGATAATTTCCTTCTCTCTGCAAAATTCAATAACAGTACAAAATTAGCCATCCACATCCCTTTCCATTCTACTTTTATCTAGGAGAGCAGTAGTGATGCTCCTACACTGGCCTGAGAATTTGGGCTAAACTTGGTTCGTATCAACTAGGGTTCTCACCAATTGAGCAAACATAGTAACCCTTTAACCCGATACACAAAAAATACATCCTTCCTAACTTTGGGACTGTTCCATTTACAGTTCTGACTCTGGCATTTTCAAGAGTTTATGCAGCAATGCAACATGTGTTACAAAAACAAAATCAAGAAAGATACAAATAGAGGGTTTACCAGGAGGAATTGCATCGAGCAGTTGGAGGGCAAGATCGGATTTGCTCTGCAAAAGAGAGGTTTTTTCATCTGGGTTAACCGGGAAAAATCTCTCGCGAATCATATAGAGCTCATCTGCAGCTAGTGCTACTTTCGCGAATAAATCTTCTTCGCCATTTTCTCTGATTACACTGCTCATCTTTGCGGGTTATGCAGAGTTGAACTGAGCAGCCAAAATGAGTTCTTGAACTTTAGCGAGCTTAATTGCCTGTCTGACAACTTGACAAGGAAGTTGTTTTGAGAACTTACAAATTAGCCCCTCTATTTCTATGGAAGTATATCATATACCCTTACAAGTTACAACCCCAAAAAGAAATTCAATTTTTTGGTTGGTATTAAAGAGAATATTGAATATTGAATATTGATTCTATTATTTATTTAGATGATGAATAAGGAATAATGAGTAGAAAGATAAATGTGTCTTAACCATGATAAATTGATAATGATAATAAAATTATCATTATAACCATTTGGAAGAATGATAATAAAATTAAGGAATAAGGGTTAAATAGTCCATTCAATTGCACACGATAATACAATTAGGTCACTGAACTTAAAAAATTAACAATCGGGTTCCTAAATTATCCAATTTCAAACAATTCTTCCAATTTGAAGATTTCCAACAAGCCAACAGGTCATCATCCTAAATTAATTGTTTTTTAAAAAATAAATTTTAAAAATTAATTATTAAAATTTTTTTAAAAAAAACAGGACTCCGGCCAGAGATGAAGAAACCTTTTTATAATAATATTATAATTTATAATTAAATTATTATAAATATTTATTTTATTATAATAATATAATAAAAATTAGAATTAATTCAATCAGAGGTCCCTTATCTTTGTTGGCAATTCCAAATTTAGTTCAGACTATCGTTTTTGTCATTTAACATCCCAGACTATTATTTTTTGGACTCTTTTAATCCTTCTCATGAATTTTCCTATTTTTAGTAAGGGCATTTTTGTCTCTTCATATTTTTTATTTGTTATTTTTTTTGTTTCAACCGGTTTAATTGGTTTAGGACTTTATTAAAATCGGTTGGAAAATGTGATTATTAAAAATCAGAGGTTACCTGAAGTTCTAAACCAATTAAACCTTTTGAATCAGAAAAATAACAAAAGAAAAATATGAAAAGACAAAAATGTCCTTACTAAAAATAGAAAAAGTCATGAGAAGGACTAAGGGGGCGTTTGGTTCACGGTATGTTAGATTACCTTAGGGAATATTAGATTCATATGCTTGGTTTAAAACTAAGGAATGTAAATAAGACAACGGTAATAAAACAAATTGATTAAAATGTCAAACGCCCAAAATTAGTAATTAGACAATGGAATGTGATATTACCTAAGAAATTGGAGGGTATGTCACATTTCCTTCCAATAACTAAAAACTTAATGTGGAGGTTATGTGACATTCCTGAAAAAATTACATAACATGAACCAAACATGAGAATCTTATATTTCCAAACAAATATAACCTTAGTTGTCTCAGATGGCATATAGTGACCTTTTCCATGTGGGAGGTCATGAGTGGAGGCGTTGTTGACTTTTTGTGCTTCATTAGGGTGAGAAAGTATGTTTGAACATATACTACAAGCACTCCCTAAAAATGTCTAAAAAAAATAATAGTATGAGATGTTAAATGACAAAAATAATAATTTGTGACTAAATTTAAAATTATCCCAAAAAATAATGGACCTCAGGTGAAATTAACTCTAAAAATTATTATACATATTTGGTCTACGGCAATATACCCTTACAACCCTATTCCCTTGTTTCTTTCTGTTTAAATAGTGATGTTCTCATATGCCACTATTATATTATCAATAATATAACGACCAGACATAAATTTGCTATGCGTTTGTGAGATGATACCCATCAACATCTCCAATCGGTTTGCTAGTACCTTTGCAATGACTTTATAAAGAACATTGCATAATGAAATGGGACACAAATCCTTCATGGTTTCTAACTTGTATTATCACAATATTTGTGCAATTTAATCTACTCAGCAATCTTCCTTATGCAAAAAAGAAATAAAATAAAATGAAGAATAAAAGAAAATCTCTACAACAGTATCACAACATCCACCCCTACTATATCCCAATAATTCCTTCGGAGCCGAGAAACTTATTCGAGTACATGTCATCAATTGTTTTTTTCACCTCCTCTTTATTTATAGGCCTTAACAACTTTTCACTATGATCCACCGCAATACCCACATCTAGACAACCAAGTACTACATCCATATTCCCTTGTTTTGAGGTAAACTATTCATTAAAATAAGTCAAACATGAACGTATTTAAATCATTCTGATTAGAAACCCAATCACCTTGGACATTCCATAGTGCTCTAATTTGGTTCCTACACCGTCAATGTTGAAAAAATAGCATTAAAATGATATTTTAAGTGATTATTTTGTGGTACAAATATATGTGGGATCCACTTCCGGTTTGGGTCGGGTCAATGTGGATTCAGGTTCTTCGTAATGAGACGAAGAATTTGATATAATGTACGCTCAAAATGGATAATAGGTGAATGAGAAATTGATTCTCAAAGTGAATCTATTTGAGAGAAGTCAAATTAAGCTTAGAAAGCTTAAAGCTTAAGATTAAGCTTAATTAGTGTGACAACACGAGTTGTCAAACTTGAGAATAAGCTTTTGGAAAGCTTTATTAATGTGTTAATTTGTTAGCACGAATTTGGAATTGGGACGAAAGATGCATGCAGAAGCTTTGGTTTTGGTGCCTTTGGTTTTGGAGCACGAAGTAATAATCTTTGGCTTATGCTCCTTTCGTGCTCCTTTCGCAGGAGCAGCACGAGTCAATGATATATGCATTGATTCGTGCCGCACCGTTTCGGTGCTTGCGGACCACTCAGGTGTGGTTTTCAGTCTCAATTCGTTAAACTTTCGGGTTTGTACGAACTTTTTGGTCATTCAGTATTCAGATATTTTGAAACGGGTCGTTATGGTCGGTACAAATTAATCGGATATTAAGTTCGTGACCGTTGATATTATTTCGATAATAAGTACGACTGTTTTAAACGTTATAATTCAATTATTAAATTGAATTTATGTTGGATAATGTGGCATGCTATTAAGTACCAATCTCCTATATAAACATGTTGTGGGAGCAACTTTTTTGATATACAGTGATAGAGAGAAAGTGAGAAACCACACAAGAACACACACAAAGAAATTCTAGTTTTCCTCTCACCGTTGAGGGGATTGAATCCACCGTTGAGGGGATTGAATTCATCTGTTGAGGGCAGTAGAGTTTTACACACATAAACATAGAACACGAAAGTTCGTTTTTTTTTTCAGCTTCAAAACCTCTCTGCTTCTACTCTTTCTTGGCCTACTGTGTTCATAGCCATTGTCTTGCTCGCCGGATTCCTTGTTTGAGTGCTCAAACATTGAATCATTAGCAAGTTTTATCTTGGGAAGCCTAGGCCACAACGCTCCGAGCATCTTTGGGAGGTGGCAAATAAGGTTTTAAGGAAAGAGTGCTCACTTGACTCTTGCAAAAACCCAACACCAAACACTAGCCAAATTTCTTCATCTTTTCTTCCCTTCTTTCTAGAAAATAATAGTCAATTTTAATTTGATTATTATTTGTGTTTTCTACCAATGGTACCAACAGTCTTAAAACCTTACTCTTCGTTTTCCCGTTGGTTGTTTTCTCCGAATTTCCTTGAAGAAAATGGAGCATCCCGTACTGCCAATCGATGGGGAGGATAATGTTGTTGCGGACAACAATGGAAGAAACGACAACAATAATGTGGTTGCGGATAACAGTGGAGGGAATGGCAACAATGTTGCTAATTCCCAAGCTACACCAGTGAACGTTGGTTCACAAGATGGTGGGAGCACTGAGGGATATATTCCCATGTCTCGGGTACCTACGGTACCGAGTGGTTCGGCTGAAAAGCCGGAGAAGTTCACCGGTGTTGGTTCGAAATTCAAGAGGTGGCAACAGAAGATGTTGTTCTACCTAGCAACTCACGGACTGGCAAGGTTCTTGTCCGAGAATGTTCCCGAGTTGAAGGAACAAGATGCACAATCCGTGATGGCGATTGGCTATTGGAAGGATTCGGACTTCCTTTGCCGAAACTACATCCTGAATGGATTGTGTGACACGCTATATGATGTATATCGAAAGATAAGCACATCAAAAGTGTTGTGGGAAGCTTTGGATCACAAATACCGAAGTGAGGATGCCGGCTCAAAGAAATTTGTAGTTGGCCGATTCCTCGACTTCAAAATGGTTGATTCAAAGACCGTGCTAAGTCAGGTAGAAGATTTGCAATTAATCTTTGATGAGATCTGTGACGAGGGCATGGTGCTAAGTGAAGCCTTCCAAGTGGGATCTGTGATCCATTTGTTGCCTCCAGGTTGGAAGGACTTCAAGAACTACCTTAAGCATAAGCGAAAGGAGATGAATCTGGAGGACCTGATCCAGCGACTCAGGATTGAGGAAGGGAACCCGACGAATGATAGGAAGGCTCCTGTCGTTGTTGGCGCTAAGGCCAATGTTGTGGAGCACGGTAAGAGCTCCAAGAGGAACAAGAAGGACAAGCGAAAGCTAGGTCCGAAAGGTGGCGTTACCAAGAACAAGTTTCCTGGTGAATGCTACAATTGTGGCAAGCATGGCCACAGAGCATCTGAATGCAATGCTCCAAGGAAAAAGAACAAGAGTTCTGAAGTCAATGTTGTTGGAGATAGCAGTCAGAAGGAGGTCGAGATTAGCCTTTCGGCTATGGTGACCGAAGTGAACCTCGTGGGCTCAAACCCTCGTGAATGGTTCATTGATACCGGTGCAACCAGGCACTTGTGTTGCAACCGAGAGATGTTCAATACCTTTGAGACCGTTGAGGGTGAAAATGTGTGGATGGGAAACTCTGCTTAGTCTGCTGTGGAAGGCATGGGCAAGGTGGTTCTGAAGATGACTTCCGGGAAGGAACTAACGTTGAACAACGTGCTGTATGTTCCTGAGCTGAGGAAGAATCTTGTGTCTGGCTCTCTGTTGAACAAGCATGGCTTTCGCATGGTGTTTGAGTCAGACAAAGTAGTTTTGTCCAAGTTAGGGATGTTTGTTGGTAAAGGATATGTAACTGATGGGCTCTTTAAGCTCAGTGTAATTCCTGTTATCAATAAAAGCAAAGTTAATTTTGTTTACTTGCTTGAGTCTTCCAAT